TCCTGCTATAACGACCTTGATTGATATGTTCTTTGTCATGTCTAAGCAATTCTTCCTTTATCTCATCTTTCCATCTTTTTTACGCTTTTCCCATTACGTTTGCAATCCATTAGGCATAGAATAACCGTTTATTCGATCGGTTATCTCCCTTTGTATGCATCTGGACAACCTGCTACGTTGTCGTTTAATCAATTTTATATCCCTTATCAGTTCCCTGATCCAAGTTGTCCTCTTTCTATCCGAAAACAATCCTTCGCATTACCGATTCCATGGACCTTTGTGCGTCTCTGATTTTCTTTCAAGCGATTTTGTCAATATACATGTTTCTGACATAATCTATTCATTATACACTTCACGCTTTAAGCTTATTGGGAATGTGTTATTATGCCTTTGTTTTTTTTGTTTGTTTTGTTTTCTTTTTTTTGTTAAATGCATTCCACCCTATCGTTAGACATCGTTTTATTCAGTGAGAATTCAATTTTATTTTTTATAATAAAAACATTATTTATATAATAAAAAAGCAAAAGTTAGAATTTGTCAAAAATGAATATAAAACGTATTATAATAAAAAAAATAGAATGTTAAAATTAGACAAAGCATTATGAAAAAGTGAACTGTTTTCACCGAAAAAGAAAGTGTTTTTTTTAATAATAACAAAAAAAAGTTTGAATAAATAATGTGTTGAATAATTTTTTTTTAAAATGAGTCAAGTCTGTTAAAGTAAAAGTTAATATCGACTTTTTAAATAATGGGGAAAACGCAAACAAGACCCCAACGGAGTTGATTTTAATCGAGTTTGGAGCCACCTGTTTGCTGTAAAAAGGGGACATTTTGTCTACCAAGTCAGAAAGGATGCGAGAGTGGAGGGCTGGTATCTACAACCGAGAAAACATCTATTAAGATTACTGTTGCTGCAGACGAACGAAAAAGAAGAAAATAAAGAAAAGCCTTTTAACAAATCTACAAGAATTCTCACAACGAAAAACTGTCCCCACAAAAAAAAAAGAAAAATGTTAATCTCATTCAAATGCGCTTTATAAACCTGTGAGAGGTTTATCTCATCTATGAAAATCCTCTGAGTCTATAAAAGGCAGATCAGGTCGAAAATGGAGTGCTGTTGCCATATTTGGGCGGAAGTTGCCCAGTCCTCACTTTTCAGGCTCGATAAAGTTCAAAAGCGTCTTCGATTCTTGTGGGTGATGAATTATTTTCGACCATCCAACTTCTCTCTCACAGGTGAGATATGACGTGTCTCTCACTGCTCTTTCGCTACTTCCATTGAAAGTGATCGGACGAACTATATTTCTCAGTTGCCCCAGGTCTAACCTTCACGACTAGGACTCGCCGTGGCGCTTACATTGTAACAAACTATCCACACCCACCTCATATTTTATCGGCGAGAAGTAAGAACCACTGCTCTGTGGAAACGACTCCCAAGAAGATGTTTCTCTGATCACTACACTCTTACCCAGTTTAAGTTTAGAGTTAACCGTTATCTTCCTCACATATCCTAGTAAACTAGGTTCCTCCATTAGGTCACGTAAAAAAGCAGCATATCACGATTAAAAAAATCTCATAAATCAACAAAAATAATGTTTTGTCTCAATATGTTAGTATTAATTGAAAGCTAAAGCATTAAATTTATTACTTACAGAAAGTAAAATATTCTGATGTCTTTCAGACAGAAATTATATGGATTGGAATGTCAAATATATGCTCGATTTTTGTTTAATTTTCTTAAAAGCGGCCATTTTCTTAAATTTTAAGAAATTTGTAAACAAACAACATTTTGATTTTAAATTTCTTCCTAAAATAAATTTATATATTTTTGACACGTTATTTGAGTAAAATTAGAAAATTTAAAGTTAAATTAATCTGATATGAAACAAACAGTACTTACTTATAGCATAAAAATTTGTATACAAACATTTCTTAACGATGTATCTGAATTTATCAAAGAAATCGATTGTGACGAGGTGCTGACAGATTACTATGGATGATCAAAATTGACAATTTTTGCAAAGAAAGCGAACGCGGTTTTTCGTTTTTAACTAGTACTTTTTAAATATTAATATTTTTATTCAGCAATTATGTAATATCTATTTTTTATTTCATACTTTCTTAATTAGATAATAGTTTAAAGTTTTTTATTAATTAGATAATTGTTTAAAATGTTTTTAAGGATTATGTCATGTATACATTTCCATACGTAGAAATTATGAACGTTTTTTTCAATAAAATTTTAAAAAAAATTATTTTAAAAATATTTTGGGTCAAACGACTGTTATGTGCTTTTGAAATTTCGATTCGTAAATTTACATTTTATTAACGTTATCATTGCATTACGTGCTTGAAAGCAATAAAGAATTTTAAACGACTTTTGAAGTATTAAGAAGTTAATGAAAAAAAAATTTAAAATGGGAAAAAAAAAATTGTAAAAAAAACATTATTCATCGAAAAAAATTTATTTCTTTACAAAATAATGTCCTTAGTATAACGTATTTACAAAAACAGGTGAAACCGTTTCTAATTAATTAATGTCATAGTTTTTTACATTTTTTTTTTATAATTCAGAGCAGATTTTCTATGATATGGGGTACTGTTTTACAAAAAAAACTGGTGATTTACTTTTGTTATACTACCTATTCTATTGTAATGGACTCTCCCATAGATAATAAGTAGGAGTAGCAGTGGCAAGTCTGGCAGAATAGCGTCTCGCGGTCTTTGACTGCGGACGCCTCCTGTCGAACTCTCTGCGTTAGCAGAGAGGAACCCGGACGAGGCTTTGCCGAAGGGCAAGGTTTCGTCCGGTGAGGTAGACAGGGCCTGGACCCGTCTAATCGGCTTCAAAAGGCTATTTTTTTGGCCGAGCCTACGGGCTCGGGGATACCCACAATAAAACCGGCCTTGTGCCATATTCGTTTCCCGTGGGTGAAATGATAAATACCGAATGGTGTCTCGCGGTCTCTGACTGCGCACGCCTCCTGTCGAACTCTCTGCATTAGCAGAGAGGAACCCTGGACGAGCTTTGCCAAAGGGCAAGGTTTCGTCGCTCAGGGCCTGAACCCGTCTAATCGGCAAAAAGGCTATTTTTTTGGCCGAGCCAGGGCCTGAGAAACCATCAATAAAACACCATATTCGTTTCCGTGGGTGAAAGGATAAATACTGAATGGTGTCTCGCGGTCTTTGACGGCGCACGCCTTTCTGTCGAACTCTGCGTTAGCAGAGGGAAAGACGAAGCTTTGCCGAAGGGCAAGGTTTTTTTGGCCGAGGCCTGGACCCGTCTAATCGGCTTCAAAAAGGCTATTTTTTGGCCGAGCCTACGGGCTCGGAGAAAAATAAAACCGGCCTTGTGCCATATTCGTTTCCGTGGGTGAAATGATAAATACCGAATGGCGTCTCGCGGCTTTGACTGCGCACGCCTCCTGTCGAACTCTCTGCGTTAGCAAGAGGAACCAGACGAGCTTTGCCGAAGGAAAGTTTTCGTCCGGGGGACAAGGGCCTGAACCCGTCTAATCGGCTTCAAAAGGCTATTTTTTTGGCCGAGCCTACGGGCTCGGAGAAACCCAAAATAAAACCGGCCTTGTTATTCGTTTTCCGTGGGTGAAATAAGGATACCGAATGGCGTCGCGCGGTCTTTTGCGCACGCCTCTGTCGAAACTCTGCGCCGAAGAGGAACAGACGCGAAGGGCAAGGTTTCGTCCGGCGAGGTAGACAGGGCCTGAACCCGTCTAATCGGCTTAAAAAGGCTATTTTTTTGGCCGAGCCTACGGGCTCGGAGAAACCAAAAATAAAACCGGCCTTGTGCCATATTCGTTTTCCGTGGGTGAAATAATAAATACCGAATGGCGTCGCGTGGTCTCTGACTGCGCACGCCTTCCTGTCGAACTCTCTGCGTTAGCAGAGAGGAACCAGACGAGCTTTGCCGAAGGGCAAGGTTTCGTCCGGCGAGAGTGAACAGGGGCCTGAACCCGTCTAATCGGCTTCAAAGGCTATTTTTTGGCCGGGCCTACGGGCTCGGGAATACCCACATTAAAACCGGCCTTGTGCCATATTCGGTCCTCGTGGGTTGAACGATAAATACTGAATGGTGTTGAGCGCGTTAGTCGAGATTCGGACATTTGAAGTACCAACCATCACAACTAGATTGCTGCGCCATTGACTCTTATTTTCCATGTTCCTAACGTTTTGTACGTCTGACCTAATTTAGGACGACTTATACAAGCCTCCTCTGTGAAAATACTCCACAACAACTTTCTACAAAGAGTCCTGTTTATAACTAATAAAACAAATCCCGCGCGTGAAGATTTAATTTCTCGAAATTTCATGAAAATATGTAAGTGGGTGGAAACATGTTAAAAAAAAATCTCTTTTTAACAAGATTTTCTAAAAAGAAAATTTCAAAAATGATTTCATACATTTGTGAATAAGTCCTAAAAATTTCATTAAAATTCGACAATTATTTGATTTTTGCAAGAAATTCCTAAATTAACGTGTGCTTTCCTCGGGAAAAGCGCAACATAAAACAAACCTTGTTTTACTTTTCTCGAGCTGTCGTAAAAAAAAAAAAAAAAAAATATTTAACCAAAGTTTTCTACGTGCCAAAAAGGAGTAAAAAATTTCCAAAAATACTTAAAAAATACTTTGGTCTTTCCTCTTCATAACAACATAAGCATATTGATAAAAAAAAAAAACTTTGTTTTCGTTGGTTTATGAACCTTTTTTCATCGTGATATGCTGCTTTTTTTACGTGACCTAATGGAGGAACCTATAGTAAACTGTGCCTTTTAGCTCTTACTCGTAAACCTCTACCGCGACTCGCTCTTGAGCCTTGTACAATATGAACATAATTGAAAAGAAGGCTCCACGTCTACTGCAGCCATAGCAATATTGATGCGTCTAAGGTAAGATAACCTGATGGCGACCATTCCTCTTCAGGCTGGTCTTGAATTCATGGTTTTCTTTTTCCTAGACTAGCTAACACCCAAGACTAGAGAAGCTTACGGCCACATCACATTGAGACATCTGTTCCCGCAAGATCAGCGAAGTTAAGGAACGTCGAGCCTGGTGATTACGTAGATGGGTAATCGCTTGGGAACACTAGGTGCTGTAAACTTGGATGTAAAGTTGGTCAAATGGAACGCAGCTCCGAAATCTTGCTGTCCTATGCATATAAAGCTACCCTTTAATGAGTGGCTCTCGGGCCATTTATAGGGTGAACCTTACCGCAAAAAAGTAGAAGTCTCTTTCTAAAATGAAAATGTTTTGTCTGAAGTCCCCCCACCGCAAAAAATATAGATATTACTATCTCACCCATTCAATTTTCAACTTTAAAAACTTTTACATGTAAGAATAGTTTTATTTGTTTGTTTTGTATTTGTTTACCGGCATATCAAAACTTATATGCGTTAAGTAATGCCTGAATGTAAACATTTTGAACAAAATTTCGTGAAGTTATATTTTAAAATGCAATTTTAATTTCTTTAAGAAATTATAGGATATTATATGGATTAATGGATAAGGATATTATATGGATTAGGATATTATATGGATTAATGGATTAAATTATTTTATGGATGAATGGATAAGGATATTATATGGATTAATGTCTTGAAAGAGTTCTTTCATGAATGTTGTTTGGTTCGTTGATTTTATTTAGAGACATATCAACACCTCTATGGGTTATTTAATGTCGAAATCTAAATATTTTGAACACAATTTTATACCTTCAACTCTAGATATCTTGTACTTAATTTTATTCTATCATAGGATATATATATATATATATATATATATATATATATATATATATATATATATATACATACATACTACATAGCATGGCCCGGCGTTGCTCGTGCTTCATTCAAAAATCGTACGACTCGTACACAGCAATTGCTATCACTTGACTTAAAATATTTTTGCCCTTCTTTGCCTTTAAAGGAGTGCCCTTTGCCGTGCCGATGTTGCTACATGCCTTACTTCTTGCCTTACTTCTCACACTGCGATTTTTTTCTAAGCTCTATACTAAACATTAAATCTGTTACGAAAAAAGTACTAAACAAAATGAACACAAAACGGTCAGCTTTAAAAAAGGACTCGTAACTGGAAAAACCGAATGAAAAAAGAATGTTAACACAAATACTTTTTCACACCCAACCCAGTTCTGCAGAATCCGAATCAACGTTGAATTTAAGCAAGCGAATGAGCCAATTGGAGTAAAGTGCCATGCAGATTTAATTTTTTCCCACTTGTGACGAATGCAGCTCTCGATAACTGAGAGATGATAAATGATGCGCGAGGTATTTACTCATTCCCCCACGAGAATGAGATGTGACGCAAAGTCGGATTAATGTGGGGACCCGAGCGCGTACACCTGGGAAGGGCCAAAAATTACCCCTCAGCCCCACAACCGTCTTTTTGCTGGCCTCGGTGCGAGCACCGATCCCTCCTTCTGGTGCAATGGGAGGGCGCGGCCTCGGGCAGCTGTTCCCCATGGCTGGGCACGTCTTCAGTATAATTTTCCTCAGTTGCCCCTCTGTCCTCAGACAGAGAAGCACCTGAGCGCACTCTCTCAAGGACAGAGACGCAACTGAGAGATGATAAATGATGCGCGTTCACCCCTCCAAGGAGGGGGGATCACGTCGATGTCTTTGTGGAAGAAATCGGCTGTGTTTATGTCAGCTCCGGTTAGCATCGTAGTCGGTTGGCAATATCTTTTGGTTGATGACTAAAAATTAACTTCATTATTTTGACTGTACACATGAGTTTCATTTGGACACCATGTGTATTTAAAGTAGTTTCCGGTTATTATTTTTAGTTAGGAGGACTTGTGTATGTTTAGGTTTCATTTGTTTTACTTTTTGTGTATCGTTCTCTGAAAAAAAAAAAACCAAAAAAAACGCTGAGTCACCGGAAGTTAACGGCATTCGGACGTTTGAGTAGCCGGCAGTAACTTCCGGCCGGGTGCGATACCCTTAACAGTGCTTTCAAATTGATTTCGTGCAAAGACAATTGTGTTTTTTCAATTTTGGGCGCTGTCAGAACCACCGACGGTTAATTGTACGTAGTCCTGTGAAGTTTTGTTGAAATCGGTTGAAAAATGTAGGAAATATGATCCCATATATAAACGTACAGACACACGGTCTTGTGAGTGAAATTTCGTAGACAAAACACCTGGGGGCCGTCGATAGATGTACTAACTCGGAGTCACAAGTCATCGTGACCGAGGGTTTGAGTGTGCTGGCCTTGTTCAAATTGTCGATTACGCTAGATAACACACTCTTTCCAAGAAACTTTAACTAAGGTCTGCTCAGATGGGGTATATGGGGGTTGAACAAATGCGTCTGAGCGGGTGTCAGCAATAGGGATTGGCTAGTCACCTTAGTAGACAGGTATCATCGAATACGAATGGCCAGTTATTGGATCTGTTTATACTTGCTTGACTATGTTTGGTGGTTACCCCCCATCCCATCCACCAAACAGAGTCAAACAAGCATGAACAGATACACTTTTAATAAATCGTCTGGTTTGTCTGGTGATCGCAAAAGCGTAAAACACAGGGTCACAAACTCAAATTCAACTTATATATATATATATATATATATATATATATATATATATATATATATATATATATATAATATGTGAAAATATATAGAAAATAGGAAGGAACTGGTTAGGTAAATAATCCAAAGTCCCTTAGTATTTTAGTTATTTTTTTTATGGAAAATTATCGACAAGGCTAGAACATGTAAAGCTTGGGATGACCCATGCCCTTTGTGCCTCCATGAAAAATTGCACATTATTAAACTTCTAAATAATAATAATCTATTAAATAATAGACACGAGTTAACGGTCTTCTGTAGGCATCATCAGATTTTTGGTTTGAATTATTAGATAATTTATATAACTTTTTTAACAAATAGCCCAATCATCAGATTCATAGTAGGAATAATGAACTACAAACATGCATACAACATAACACATAGCCCAAATAAGTAGTTTAATTACCTTACATAAAAGATAACCCTTTATGAAGTCGTCAAAAAACAAACGTTACGAAAGTTTTTCATTATTTATATGCACAATTCCCTTTCATAATAAAATAAAATAAAATGAATAAATAAATCTCCATAGACAAGCAAACTAGACGAAGGTTAATACATCTTCCGTTTCATTTTAGACACCCCCACCTTTCCCCGACTTGATATCTTGAAAGTATCTCTATACCGCTACTTAATATTAACACCCTGCACTCGCCTACCCAATTTAAACAATTCGCCCTAGCTGTTACCATGGGGATTTTGATTTCAATTTTTAAAACAAGTAAATTTCAGATATACGTTATTCCAACAAAAATTTCGCTTGAAGATGGAACGGAGCCCATTTTAATTTAAACTCAATTTAATTTAAGGATTATATTCAAGTTTTCGGCTCTTGTTTTGAAACATGAGACCTCTTATGTTGCGATTTAGAATCATATTATAATTATATATATATATATATATGTTAAGAAATGGACAAGGTCCGACAATTTATTTATTAAAGACATTTTTATGTTTAACGTTGTTATTTATAGATACAAGTATTTAAGAAAATGCTCTGTTTATGATAAACAGTATTAAATAACATTTACCGGCCTGAATGTCCGAGAAATTTTCATAGAAAATATTCGATACGCCAGAGCAGTTATGAATGTACGAGATTCATGGAAGATAGGAGTTTATAAGCAGTAAATTCGACCTTGTCTACCGATTGGTTCTTTGTAAAGGCACGTCAGCGTATATGACGGTTCCGTATAGGATGCAGGTTCGAATCCTCTCAAAGAACGAATATTTTCTATGAAAATTTCTCGGACATTCAGGCCGGTAAATGTTATTTAATACTGTTTATCATAAACAGGGCATTTGCTTAAATACTTGTATCTATAAAATAACAACGTTAAACATAAAAAAAAAATGTCTTTAATAAATATATATATATATATATATATATATTATAAATTAATTGATTTAAAATATGTTTTTTTTCGCTACACAGTTCTAACCATGTTTCAAAAATGGAAGCTAAAAGCCACGAATTTAATTTTGCAATTAAATTAAAGACATTAGTTCCATGTCATCCTCAAGCAAATTTTGGAGTTTTGAAACATGGTTAGAAACTGTGTAGCAAAAAAAAACATATTTTAAATCAATTAACTTATAATATTAATGCTGTGTAAATTTACATTGAGCACTCTTTTGTAAAAATAAAATATCTATAAGAACACCGGATTATATATCTATCTATCTATCTATCTATCTATCTATCTATATATATATATATATATATATATATATATATATATATATATATATACAGGGTGTCCATAAAAGTCCGTGTGCTCTTTAAAACATTTATAACTTTATTTATATTTGCGATAGAAATAATCTGTAAAAAAATGGTAGTAATGTACCTAGTTTTAAGTATAGCTAAAAAAGCTAATGTGATTTCAGGCATTACTCTAAATCAGTAGGCAAATGTTTTCCGTGAACTGCAAAATCGTATTACCCTTTGTATTGCTAATGTCAGACATGTGAAAACTTAAATAAAATTGCAATAAAACCTTAAAAAACATAGATTTACATCCTTCTCATCATTTTTACAAATTATTTCTATCACAAATACAAATAAAGTTAAAAATTTTTAAAAGTGCACATGAACTTTATGGACACCCTATATATATATATATATATATATATATATATATATATATATATATATATATATATATATATATATCCCTTGTGTATATATATATATATATATATATATATATATATATATATATATATATATATATATATATATATATATATATATATATATATATATATATATATAGATATTGGAATCAAACGGAATTATGAGATAAATAGGAAACGTTTATAAATCTAATAGCTTTCACGTTCATTTTGTGTTCTTTGATTTTCATTGGCTAATCAATGGTTACGCAAACATTAGTATAATTTATGGCGTTCTAAATTCAAGGAGGGAGCACGCGTTCATTCGAAATTTCAATAAATTAACGGATTCCAATCCCAAATGTAAAACCATAAATATTGCTTTATGTATGCAAGTGTATAATAAATTCGATTTTGTCTATATGGGATTATTTGCATATTAGATGATTTATAAGTTAGATTGATAAACGTTTCCTACTATCTTATCATATATAATTGTTTGCTAAGGTTCAACCTATACAAAGACCCAGAGCTACTCAAATTAAAGATTTACTGAAGGAAGTTGCTGTGTGAGCATTAAGTGTACGAGGTTAGAGACGTAGTTTACTAGGATGTGTGGGAAAGATAACAGTTAAGATTATTGTTATTAGGAATGCGTCCCCTTAGGCCTCGGTTTGACAAAATAGTGCTGGGAAGAATCTACTCGAGTGGAACTTGCCTCTCAATAATTGGATAAAAATCGAAAGTATTCATAGATGTATATCAATGAATCTGCACTTATTAGAAAGAGAGATTAATTCTACATCGACATTCTACTCCAAATAGACATTAAAATGAGATAGATAGATAGATAGATAGATAGATAGATAGATAGATAGATAGATGATAACAGGCGGAGATAGATAGATAGATAGATAGATAGATAGATATGAACAGGATATATATATATATATATATATATATAGATAGATAGATAGATATAGATAGATAGATATGAACAGGTTGAGATAGATAGATAGATAGATGGATAGATAAGAACTGGTTGAGATAGATATTAACAGGCTGATATAGATAGATAGATAGATAGATAGATAGATAGATAGATAGATAGATAGATGATAACAGGCTGAGATAGATAGATAGATAGATAGATAACAGGCTGAGATAGATATGAATAGGTTGAGATAGATATTAACAGGTTGAGATAGATAGATAGATAGATAGATAGATAGATAGATAGATAGATAGATAGATGATAACAGGCTGAGATAGATAGAAAGGTAGATGATAACAGGCTGAGATAGATAGATAGATAGATAGATAGATAGATAGATAGATAGATAGTGCGATCGATAAATTTTCGTCTAAATTAAAGAATAATGTGAATAACAGAGGCACCTCGTTTTAACAACTATATTTACCAACATTATACCTAAATATCTTGGAGTTCTGAACAGTAAATTTATTCAATAAAATTGCCATTGACTTCAAGCACGGCCTCCAGATATCTTCGGAATCTCCTGCATCTCTTTTAGACGATTTCCTTTTTTTTAATTTGGTGAATGCTGCGATAATCCTTGCCTTCTGTTCTTTGGTGTTACAAGGAGTTTTGTTGCTTTTTCGCTCACCTGAGCTCGGCACATAATAATCAAGTTTGCGCGGGGGCTGCAGTCTGGGAAGTTAGGTGACCAGAGGTTAAGGTGCGATTCTGTTGCAACTTCCTGTTGCCAGATATAGTGTCTTCTCGCAGGCACCCTCGTAACCGATGCCATGTTGAGTGTGAAGCATTGTGGGAAAATGAATGGAAGCATAAATTCGCTATTACTAGTGATCACTCGAAACATCATGATGCTGACTGGATATATCATTTAAATTTTTCCGAATCATCTGCACTGTACACAGAATGGCACCGAAACACTTTGAAATGTCCGTAATGGAGCTTCCGACGCGAATGCCCAGCAGTAAAACATGGCGTTTCCCAATTTCTGGCGGAGTGAATTGCATCATTGTGCTCTTTTTCTCACAGATGGTGCCCAACTGACTCTACAATACTGTGTAGTTGTGGGCATTTCGAGGCGCTGTAATGGTTAACAAGCTTGTCTCGCAACAATTACGAATGAGTAGTGAGTTCAATCCTCACTGGTTACTCCACATCTAAGCTACGCTTGGAAATTCACTATATTGTGTAGTCGACAAAATCAAAACAAACAATGCGCGTAATTAAAAATATAAAATGGCGACAATTCACACATCACATCCTGTAATATTTCGCCAGTATTTCTGTTTTCTTCAATATATTTTTAAAAAATTTATACAAGCACTAGCATCATGGCCCGGCGTTGCCCGTTCTTCATTCAAAAAATCGTACGACTCGTACAGCAATCGCTATCACTTGACTTATTTTTGCCCTTCCTTGCCTTTAAAGGAGTGCCCTTTGCCGTGCTGATGTTGCTACATGCCTTACTTCTTACCTATCTCACACTGCGAATTTTTTCGAAGCTCTATACTAAACATTAAATCTGTTACGAAAAAAGAACTAAACAAAATGAACACAAAACGATCAGCTTTAAAAAAGGACTCGTAACTGGAAAAACCGAATGAAAAAAGAATGTTAACAACAAATACTTTGGAACGCAACTCAGAAATCTTGCATAGGCATATAAAGCTACCCTTTAATGATTGGCTCTCGGGCCATATATAGGGTGAAACTTACCGCAAAGAAAATGGAAGTCTCTTTCTAAAATCAAAATGTTTTGTCTGAAGTCCCCCCCCAAAAAAAATAATACCCCAAATCGCCTGAGATAGGTATTACTATCTCACCCATTCAATGTTCAAATTTAAGAACTAAGGACTCGTAACTGGAAAAACCGAATGAAAAAAGAATGTTAACAACAAATACTTTTTCACACCCAACCCAGTTCTGCGGAATCAGAATCAACGTTGAGTTTAAGCAAGCGAATGAGCCAATTGGAGTAAAGTGCCATGCAGATTTAGTTTTCTCCTACTTGTGACGAATGCAGCTATCGATTTTTTTTATGCTAGCATGCTAGTTAACTTTCGTGTCAGTCAGCTGTTGGCTCTCACGCTGGCCAATAGAATCTTCCTGCCTATTCGTGGCATCCAGCTATAGGCTCTCACTCTGGCCTGTAGAAAATGGCCTCAAACTACATGAAAACTGCCGTAGAAGCATGAAAAATGTCGATTATTTCCACTATCGATGGGAGTTGGGAAATGCGAAGTCGGTCTTGGCCTTTCCCGCTAACTTGGAGCATGTGCATGTAAATTTTGGTGAAAATCCGTCGAAAATTCGCCCGTGCATTCGTTACACACACACACACACACACACACTGACACACACACAGACACACACACACACACACACACACACACACACCTGCCTTTTATAGATAGAGATAAAAAATAATGCTATTTATTCAAAAGATTTTTGTCTTCAGAAAAATTATTGTACTGTTAATAAAATTACATTGTCCTGTATTACGCATGTCTTAATTGTCCGATATTACGCATTTCCTAGTATTTGATTCCGAACCGTTTATTGTGACAGGTATCATTGTTTTATCGCTGTTGATTTTTGTGTACATTTTTGTTTATAAATTCTATATTTTCGGCATCACACCCCTTTTGCAAAGATCTCCAGACTCTTGACGTTGAAAGGCTTTCTTGCTATCACTATGCTAACGATTCCGGGTGATTACATGTCTGGATCAGTCTAAAACGTTCGTAATTTCATTACTAAACCAATATTACCTCTGTATTCTGCTTGATTTTCCTGCTGAAAGATCTAACCTTAGAGCATTTTTTTTTCTGAAGACTATTTCATGTTTCCCCCCATGATCTCAAAACGTTGTACATTGTGTTCACAATGTCACCTGAAACATAAGCTGAAATATGTAACTAGAGCATTACATGTCCGCCGCCATATTAGCGGAATGTACAGAATTATTTGGGTTGAAGGCTTCTTCTTTCATTCACTATGATAAAGACACACCTCTGTGTTCAAAAGGTTTAATTTTGTTTCATTTGACCAGAGACCTGATCTCAAAAGCCTTCATGTTTGTACAAGCGAGAATTTTCCTAGGCTTTACGAGCTTTGATATGCTTTGTTTGAAGGAGTGGAGGCCTACTTTTTCTTCAATCATGCAAGCAATCTTTGTAGCGTGGCTGTGGAGGGGTTTCCATTGACATGAGGGTGCAAGTATGGCGTAAATAGAATTCAGGATGGCCTTGGTCAGGATGTTTGATAACTTCCTGCAACGTTTTAATATTGAGTGAAGGAATGCTATTGACTTTCTTTAAGAATTTTTATTGATTGAAATTCTCTTATTTATTTGTGGAAATCTTTACTTTGGGCGTAGGCATTTGAAATCTTTTTGATATGGTTTTACAGTCTTTCGTCTAATTGTGAGAATACACAATACACAGCCTGTAAATCCTCTCTCTAGAGATGCATATGTTTTTTAATTTGTCATACTTCTTTACCTTAAAAATGTATGTGCGTGTCTTTATACATCTAGTAGTGGATTTACTATGAAACTAAGTTTGCTTGGGTTTATTTTGTTTTACGGCATATCAACCTCAATGGGTTATTTAATGTCGACAAAATTTTTGTTGCTGGTAATATTTTTTCCTTCATGAATCTAGTTTTGGTATTTTTTTTTCTTCAAAATGTATTGCTGGCAATATTTTTTTTACAAAATGTGTTTCTGGTATTAAAATCCATTTTTACATTTTCATATTGTTTTGACCCCAGTTTGGTGGGGGGGGGTAACTATTTGCCCATAGCTGGGACCCTAACAGGTGCTACCACCACTTTTGTGACGTGATTAGTGCTGTGTGGGGTCGCGCATTGTCCTGATGAAACATCATCTCTTTTCGGTTCACTAGAGCAGGTCTTTTTTTTACTCAAAGCTTGGTTCAAACGCTCTAATTGCTGACAATATATTTGAGAATTCAGGTATACCGGGGAACACAAGCAATTAAGAGGTGGTTCCACGCTCCTCAAAACCTCCTGATCAGAGGCCTTGCCGTCGGATGTAGTTTATCGTCTTACCCTGGATACGAATGTAGTTTATCGTCTTACCCAGGATGCGGATGTAGTTTATCGTCATACCCAGGACAGGAAACTAATGAAGCTTAAATTTCAGAAGCACTAATCCCAGATGTGTCTTTGATGTAAATTTTTTATGAGTGAATGTCTCAATAAGATGGATGTTTTTTTTACCGGTTTGTTATTAAAATAAAGCCATTTTAGTAA